TATTTGAAATATCTTGAATAAACGTCTTTTTGGGATTAAGAAATAAAATATCTAGTCTTTTAATTTTTTGTTTCATTTTTAGGCTGTTAAAACTTTAATCAAACATGTGGCTTGGCTAATTGCCGTCACCTTTTTCTTTAAGGAAGCGATCTTTCAATTGATATTATACCTATACATTTTGTACTTAATTAAAATAAGCAGAGTAGCATAAAATATAATACGTTCTTAATAACTTGTATCTTTATTTCACAATTTAATGATATACCTGTTCAGTATAATTTGTAATGTACTGAGTATTTTATGTACTAACCAACACCTAATTATACACTCCAACAATACTACTTGTAACAGTTTCAAAGGTTGCTGTAGTGCTTACTAGGGAACAGACATAAACTTTGCCATGAGCTTCTGGGGTTGTTGCAGGGTTTGCAGGAGTGTAGAGTTGTGTGTAGTATATTTGGCGCTGTATTGCAGGGTATTGGCTTTCAATAGTTTTTAAACAGTATTCCATTTGTGTGATAAGACATCCTATACCATGTATGTTCTATCTGGTTATAGAATAATACAGTCAAAAGTCGTTAATCCGGACTCGTAGGGACTTCGGCGATTCCGGATTATCAATTTTTCCGGATTATAGATCATCAGTTTAAATCTGGTAAGATGGCATGCAGAAATTATAAAATTAAAAATATGAAACCGTAATTTATGAAATAAAGAACAATTATGATCTAAAGGGTATTAAAATTTACAAAAAAAGCTTAATATTTATTTGTTTACTTTACTAATTATAATGACGAGGAATTTGATTTAAATCATATCAAAGACGGAGTACATCGAGATGAAATACTACATTTAGTAAGGAATTATAAGCCAAATAAAATAAAAACATCTGCCCTGAAGATAAGGATAGTGCTGACAGATCAACTTCCAATTCATAGCGTGCCGCCGCAGAGCAGCGTGAAATTGATAAACAGATTTCGGAATGGTTAGATAACAAAGGATATACCTTTATCCATTTTTTGCAGCAATTCCACTTTTTGCTTAATGGACTTCGAAACATACTTTCGCTTTGTAGATACTTTACATATTAGTAAATATATATCGGAAATTCTATTTGACATAATCGAAAGTTCAAGCTTACTTTTATAAAATTGCTCTAACAGTCTGCAAAAAATAATAAGCCAGATCCAATTCGAAGATTAAGGAACAACGCAATCTACAACATTAACTGAAATAGATAATTTTAGCTTATACCGTCCGTTATACATTAAACGTGCATGCGTAAATGCATTATGCGCATAAACGTCCATCCGCCAATGCGACACATGCGCAGAAAGTTTGTAACTTTGAGGTCCGGATTATGGGTGTCCGAATTAACAACTTTTGACTGTAATAATAATCATTATCCCTTTCATAGCAGCAAGTTTCTGTATTTTTAATATTTTTTATTAAATTTTCTCAGTATTTATTCTTACATTTGATGCTTGTTTTTTCTTATAAAATTTGATATATACTATCTAAAATAAAATGTTTTGACCAGTAAAGCATGAAAAATCTTTAATAAGCTTAACAGTCAGAGAGAAAGCTGTACAATTTCATTTTTTTGTATGTATGATAAGTAAAATACTAAAGTTTAAGGCAAATTTAATAAATTTTAATTACTAAATTTTGAAACTTTATCAAAGTATCGAGTCATAAGTGTATGAACAAAATCTAAAAATTATGAAAAATCTCGTAACGTTTCTTTTTATTTTGAGAAATCAGAAATTGCATTCAGACCAGCTGCGGCATTTTTAGTGCACTAGGTGATCAGTACAATTAGTATCTTGTATAAACTAATATAATAAAGCAAAATATACCTTTATTTACTAAATACTAAAGGTTTCAAACAGCTTTTTCATTGAAAGAACAGCTTAGCTAGTACTCAATGAAAATTGGTGTCTTACCGTGCAAGTGTTACAGGTTTGGCCCTGAAATTTCAAAGTTGTCGAAATTGTAACGAATAAGCAGTGTTTCCTTTATTTTAATTCTAAAATGACCCTTTGATTCCTTTTCTTTCAGTATACATTCAACCTGAAATCAGATAGATCAGGAGCTGGCAGAAATTTTGGTGTATAATGAATTGAATAACTATCCTTGTATATGGAATTTTACATCCCTTTGAGGGTTAAGCCTATGTTGTCTGTGCTAGGAGAGATCATGATTTCATTTATATAATTTTAAATTCTATTTGAGCTGGAATTAACTGTGAAATGAATAGTGTAATCAGATCTTTTTTAATATGGTAATAATTGTAGACATTTCAGATGGTAAAGCTGTTTTTCCTAACTTTAACTTTTGCGTAAATTATTGGAGTGCAGTGTTAGCATACATAATTCTGAGCTTATAGTTAGTAAAAACTTAAATGATGTTGTCAGACTGGCTGTATGCATATTCTTTATGCTTGTATATACAGTACAAAGTCTGAAATCCGGACTCATCGGGACTTCAGTGATTCTGGATTTGGAATTTTTCCGGATATTAGATCATCAGTTTAAATCTAGTAAGATGGCATGTAGAAAATATAAAAATTAAAAATATGAAATCGCAATTTATGAAATATTAAAAGCATTTATGATCTAAAGGGTATCAAAATTTGCAAAAAAAGCTTAATATTTATTTTTTTACCTTGTTAAATATTTCTTTCAATGTAAGTTGTTTAAGTTGCTTCGTTTTTTGTGCTAAAACTTTCTCTTTAATTCTGTAGACAGACATAATCTCTGTCTACAGAACTGTCTTTTAGTTACTTTATTGAAGTCCTGTAACTGCTGTTTCAAGAGTTCCGACTAACTTGTCAATTGAAATTTTCTCGTTTTCAGTAACTTCTCTCTCACTTTTCTTCACTATTGGTAGCGGTATTTTCTGGATTTAGAACCATACTAAAGGTTTAGCCATTCATTGATTGATGATTGAGAAGCATTGTCATCACGATGAAAATCTTCTTTTATATTGCCACATTTCTTTACAAAATCCGCTAATTGGAAAATTTCACCTTTGTTTTGCGATATCCAAAAAAACCTTTAAAATTAGCGGCTATCATCATCAAATTTAGCTATCCTTCAATATACATATTTGGCTATGCATTATGAGTTTGGCGACTAACGACAAGATGTTCCATTAAATTTTATCTTGCTTCTATTGCACACTGACACAGTTAAGCCTGAATTGTACTAATTGTTTATTATACTTATGTTTATTTTTTGCACATGCTTATTGAGGGCCGGCACTTAGGTATCTTACCGCCTGATGCAGTCTCTGTGAGTCCTAAATTCTGCGACTTGCTTCGGCCATACGAACCCTGGCGCTGGTTCTGGGTTTACGTGAATCAGTTATTCTTAATTCAAATAGACCTAAATGTAATCTTTGGGTTTATGATTATCATCAACATAATCTATTTTTAGCAAAAAAAAGATGCAAAGAAAATTTTGGTAAATTTTAAGATGTGTGCCAAGCAGATATGCAGCAGCTGAGCCAAATTACTGATTATACAAATTTATGCTAAAATGATTGTTTCATCACTAACAAAATGTTTGATTTAGTGTCGAAGGGAAATTAAGAATCGGGACTCTCCAGATATTTTATTATGCGCGGAGAGGGGAATTAAATGTGCATGCATAAAGCCTACCAGAGAAACGTTGGTGGTGGTTTTGAGTTCCGGATAATGGACGTCCGGATTTCGGACTTTGTACTGTATTTATATTTAGTATAAGAAAGTAACAATAAACAGTGCTGTGGGATCAAAGTTATATTAAAATGATAAAATTATTAAAAGTTTTATTATTAGAATATGCTAATACCAAAACAGAGCAAATATTTTATCAACTTACAGCAGTAGAAAATATCAGAATAATTTAATAGACACCTTTGTATGTTAGAAAAAGTGTTTTCTTTATATATTTCTTTCTTGTCATACATCTTAAGTATTTTGAGGCTATTGGTATAATAATTTGCTGTCATAATAAACATGTAAATAAATTCTTAATTTGATTTTAAAAATTTGTTAAAATGATTTCAATAAAATACGAGTATTATTCCATTGAATAAATAAGTTGGTGTAAGATTTTAAAGCTATACTGATAAAAATACCCAGTGCCACTGCTAATGTGTGAATATTAGTTAAATTTAACTTTGTATTAATGAGATCCTTATTTAATGTATATTTTTTAATGGATGCCTGAAAGTGTTTAATGGAATGGCTTTGTTTGATTTTCTAAAAAGAGGTGGTTTTTTTTTTTTTTTTTTTTTTTTTTTTTTTTTTCTTTCTATTTTACATAGTCAATTATTAACTAAATAAAAAAATATGTATATATTTTTTTAGTTCCTAATTGGTAAAAAAAATATTAAATTTGTTTAAAAAGGATGAACATATATGTTTGTATAGGCTTAAAAATGTGTTAAGATGCAAAATAGTGGAAATTGTACGTATATAATTTTTAGTAGCATTCATTAAAATTCATAACTTTAAAAAGTATGCTATTGACCATTTTCATTGATATATTAAACTATGAAAATGTTCTATATATGTATTAAACTATTTAAAACAAGCTAATTTGATATGCTGAATCTGATTAGATATTTTACTGAAAAAAAACAACAATGAAAAATCTGATTCAATGAAATTTCTTTTTAAAATATTCCTTGTATTATTTAGCTTAGCTTTGGGATGACTCACATTGAGGTTTACCTATAGTTTTCTTATTTGTCAAACATCAGTATTCTAATTTTCACCATTGGAAATTAATCTTTATGCTATTACACGAATTCCTTTTCTTTAACTTGACTATCTAATATATGGAGTTAGCAGTATAACTATTTCCATAAAAATTATGGGATGCTGCAGGAAGATTTTGATTATTGTTGTCATGTTTTGTAGATTTTTCATTAACTTATTGATGTAAGACATAAATGAGTATTGTTATATTATTTTGATTAATTGTGAATAATGAAAATTTAATTTTCAGTTGAGTCTTCATTATGTCTCATCATAGTGATGATGGAATGCTTATTGCTGGAAGTGATAGTTTCTGGGAGCCTGGCAATTATAAGAAGACCACCAAGCGTATTGAAGATGGTTTTCGTTTATCAAATGATATGATAACATTAATTCAAGAGAGATGTGAAATAGAAAAAGTATTTGCTAAAAGTTTGAGAAATTGGTCAAAAAAATGGAATGAATTGATTGAAAAGGGTAATGAAATATTTTTTAAAAACTTTTCATCTATTATTTATACTTTAATTCATCAGAATTATACATATCACTTCTGAAGATCAAATAAATGTATTTTTTAGTACTTTTCTGTTATTGGGACCAGATTCAGAAGTCTATATATGTATGTATACATAATATGTACATATACATACATACATACATTTATGAATACATTTTTTTCTGTTATCATGAATTTTAATACATTCATGATAACAGAAAAGTACCATCTTTTTTTTTTTATCTGCAGAGAGGAATATAATCCTTTAAATGTAATATTTTGTTCATAGAGGTGCTAAGATGGTAAATATAGCAACGTCTTCTCAGTTTTACAGAGACTGTTATTGTATGTTTAAGTTTAAAGAATCAGTAAGATAATTTTATTGACAGGTAATGATTTAGCAAGGGTCATTCTGATTTTAAATTATTAAAGATAAAAATTAAGGATGTTGGGAGCTTTTCAAACTAATGCAGTTTTGTGTTTGTACTGCTAGTTATGCAATTACTTTGCAATCAGTAACTTAAAGGGGCTTCAATTTTAAGTTATCAGCTGCTGAAATTTGGAATATCTTTTAGTGCATCATAACCTGTTACTGGTACAACAAGTTGAAAAAGGGGAGAATTTAATATTTCTTGCTCTAGATAGTCAATTTTGAAATTCAGCTTCTGTTTCTCGTCTCAAAGGCAGGATATAGAATGCCCATTCTTTTGTATTTAAATATGATCATAAACACTTAATTGATTTTTTTTTTAATGTTCATTCCATCATTAACCAAATGGATAAGACTGCTGAATGGTGGTAGTTCAGTGTGCATTCAGATCCTGCTGAAAATGTTAGCTGCATAGATGTATTCATGGTTTTCTGATATATAACATAAATACAAGCCAATTTCCATCAGAAAATTTTCCATTGAGACATCCCTTCTTTGCAGATGAACCTCATTTCTGTATTCACATAAATGAGCAAATGATCATCCAAGCCCAAAGATTGAAGCTGAGTTACTAAACAGCAATAACTGAAGTAGCAGTAGGATAAGATAGAGATGAATGTAGGAGTAATGATTACAGAATTTTAAAGTTTGAGAACTGAATAGTCAAGTACTAAAAAAAGATAATTGAGGGATTTTAAAAAATTTGTCTTGTTACATTCCTGTCTGGTTTTCAGATTTCATGCCAATATCTGCTAAAGGAAATGTTATTATTATAACATATAATTAGTCTAAATTATATTTTATATTTATTTAATTTAGAACTTTTGTAAACCTAGTAAAAGACTGTGTAATATTGATGTAAGCTGTTTTCATGTTTGCATGCAATTATGTTAAAAAATATTTTTATCAACAGGCCCTGAGTATGGTACAACAGAAGCTGCATGGAAAGCAGCTTTAGTAGAAGCTGACCGCCGATGTGATATGCATATAAGAGTTAAGGAACATTTGATTAATGATGTTGTCAATCAAATTAAGCTGTGGCAGAAAGATAATTATCATAAATCTATGATGACTCTCAAGGAAAGGAAAGAAATGGATGATGCATTCAAAAAAGTAATTCTAATCTAACAATGTTGATTAGTTAATTTTTGTGCATAAGATGTAAAAATGTCTTTTTATTCACATGTAAATATGCTGGTTTATGTGCAATTGTATAAAACCATATATAATAAGAATATTATAATACAAAGAATATTATAATGTGATATGCAGGTTGTATGAACAAATGCAGGTAAATTTACTCAATAAATTATATGCAATGAGATGCTATCAAATGTTAAACAGAATAACAGTAATGCTCAATAGGAAATGTCTCAATATTTCATCTAGTTTATTTATGTTCAACTGGAGGAAAATAACAAACACATTACTTATTATTATTTTATTTTAGTATATTTTACTCAAATCTTATTTGTTTGAAAATTACCTTATTGTTAATTTTAGCCTTATGTTTTCACATTTAATTATGTATGTGCTTTTAAATGTATATTTAAAATATTAAGGGAGTCATAATATTTTAAAACTGCTTTTTTCTATTATTTTAGTACCTATACATAAAAATTATTATTATTATTATTATTTTTTTTTTAGGCTCAAAAACCATGGGCTAAACTATTGCAAAAAGTTAATAAATGCAAGTCTGAATATCATACAGCTTGCAAAAATGAACGATCAGCTATAAATCAAGAAAGGAATGCATCAAGTGATACATCTCTTTCTCCTGATCAGGTATGTCTTTAATTTGAAATAAAGGATAAGTATAAAATAAAGGAAATGAGTAAATAGTAAAGCATGACTGCTTTTTCAGTTTACTTTTAATATTGGTTTTTGTTCCCCTATTCAGTTAAAATTATTTCTGGAATTTTGACATTCCAATGAGATATTCAAGATGTTTGTCATCTATTCTCTAATATAATGTGTATGGAGAGTCAGAAATTAATGTTGTGATTACATAATTTTCTCTACTTACCACAAGTTTTACATGTGTATATAAATTTAGTCTTCAATAGCAGCTAAAAAATTTAATGCTTTCTTTTGAAACATTAAGATTATTTTTAGTATTCACAAACATGCATTTTGCTGATTTGGCCAGCATTGTTATTTTCGGAAAATGAGAATTATTTTAAATAAGTCTTTTAGCAGTTATTTTGGCCTATTATATAATTTATTGTAAAATTGGGTGTGTAATTAATCTAGAGATTTTGTTTTCAATTTCCTACTTCAGTGCAATAAATGTGCTTTTTCTTTGAAGTTTTTTAGGTCTGAAATCACTTTGGGGAGTATTCTTGATTCTTTGAGAATGTTTTTTTTTTATTTATTTTTGTTGTTATTTTTTTATTTTTTTAAATAATTTTAATTCAAATTTTTCTGTGTAGAAATTTTTTAGTTCTCTCACATAGTCAAGAATAGTGAAACACATTTTAAGAGTCCCCTAATTATTCAAGTTAAAGTTTTGAGATAATTACCCTCTCACAAGTCTGTCTCATACATTAGACTATGATTAATTAAATTTCTTTTTGTTATAGACATAAAAAATATCGTCTGTTTGTTTTTTAATTTAAAAAAAAATATTGGAAAATTCAATTTTATGGTGCTTAAACTTAATTTCTACTTTTTTTTATTATGCTTTAACCAGTTAAAATAGTCCTTTACTCTCATGTTTTTCACTTTCCTGGATAGTATAATAATTATATTTTGAAAAACTAGTCAATCTGAGCCACGTAAGTGCTGGATTTTTGACATTGAAAGCCCTTAATTTTACTCTATTGATTTTTTGTTAAAATTATATATATATACACATTTATTAAAATTATTTATTAGTTCACGCTTTAAGACCCATGGAAATGCACTTGATCGAAGACTGTTGCTGTGGGTACTAATACAAATTGTTTGTCTACTGAAAATGTTTTCTTTGTTTGATTTCTCTTATGAATTTATCTTAGATATTCTTATTCTTAGATATTGTTAATTGTGTGCAAAATAGTTTTTGCAGCATTCAAATTATTTTTAACCTAAAATTAATTTCAGATAAAAAAATTATGTATTATGTGTATATATATATATAGAGAGAGAGAGAGAGAAATAAATATTATTTCTAACATTTGCTGCTGGTTGTTTGATTTTATTATAACTTGGAGCTTTTCATAAAGCATCAATTTGTTTTAACATAGTGTTACTTTTTAAGGTTAAAAAGTTACAAGATCGTGTTTCCAAATGCAAAGATGAGGTTCAAAAAACAAAAGAACGATATGAACAAGCTCTTCGGGAAATAAATGATTACAATGCGAAGTATATGGAAGATATGACTGTCGTTTTTGATAAATGCCAAGAATTTGAAGAAAAAAGGCTGAATTTTTTTAAAGAGATGCTTTTTGGTATATGCACCTGCCTTAATATATCAACAGATCCAGAGTATGTATTTTTTAACAATGTATTTTTCTTATATTTTATTTTAGTATTGTGAATAAAACATTGTTATGCATTTTATTTTAACAGTTGATTGGAGAAGTATATCTTTTCATAAATAAAGTTATAACAGAAGCAGCATTATTGTAATATTTCATTATAACTTTGTGTTTTGTATCTTTGAGATTGCATCATAATAAAAAAATTTAAATGTTTGTCTGAAACTATATTTATGAAACACAACTGCATTTTGGTTATGTCAGCCTCATTTAGATGATCAGTCAGGTAAACTTGTTGAAGAATTACTTCATTTGATTAATAATTCATAAACTTTTTTCTTTCAATTTCGTAATATACCATGTACATTGTCTATGAAGTAATGGGAAACTAGTCCATAAGTGAAAACAGTGTTTTCAATTAGAATTTTTAGCTGAAATGTTGTTGAATATATATTCCTTATATTTGTAATGATGTGAAAAAAGCCCTTCAACAGCACATATTGTCATTCATTTTAAGCATCTAAAGCTATTTTTAAAAGTAAAGCCAAATCCAATTATAATAAATAATATTGTTTTAAAGAGATAGTTTTGTGAGGATTTTGAAACCTTTATATATTTAAAATGTTAACATTGGTTACATTTATATTATCTTGTCAATCACTGACAGAAATTTCGACAAGGTTCACTAGTCATTACTGTGAAATTCTGGTCATCCATAATTAGCGCTAAATCATGCTGCTTGGATGGTTGATGGGATAATGCATAAATACCCCACATTGTTTTGCAATGTTGGGGATGAGACAGATAATATTGAATTGTGAGACCTTTGGTATTAATTACTGAGATTGATTTCTCTGACACAGTTCACAGGCCTTTCAAGATCATCTTTCGATGTCATCATTAGATGATATTAATATGCAAGTACAGTTTCTTTTAATTATGCTTTATTTGTTTAGCTCTTTGTGCTTGCTTACTGTTTCAGTTTCCTGCAAAAAATTATAATCAGATTAAGATATGGCACTTAGACAATTATGTAGGCTATTATAATTTTTGGTATGATTTAGAAATAAACCATCAGTTAAATATTCATGGCAGAATGCATGAACACATTGAAATATGAAACTGGTTTTTCATAATGTGTTAACAGGTGAAGGAAGTGCATATTTCTCTAATGTGTGAATATGCTGAGCAGTATTTTCTTTTAATTTTTTAATCCTCAGTGTTATGCAATCAGTCCATTTAATATGATTTGAAGCCTTAAACAATTATTTACAGTAACAGGATTTTCTATTTTTCAATACCTTGTTTTGCTGATGCACAAGTATAGCTGTTTCTTGTATTGTTGAAGAAACTTGTTTCATCATTCTGAGACCAAAAATAGTCACTGACCCTTTTTTTTTACTTCCTTGTATGAAGTAAAGGAAGTATTGTAATTGCAAAAAATTGCAGGTATCATATTTCAATGAAATTATCCATTTTGACCGCTATCGAATGCAATTTAACGATGTTTTGCATGACATCGGTACATAAGAACAGAATGAAGGACTCTTCTTCTTTTTTTTTTTTTTTTTTTCCCCTCAATCAGAATTATAAAACTGATTTAAAAGGGATTCAGAAGAGATTTTGGTTAGAGTAACTGAAGGGTACTCCTTGTATTATTGCAAAGTTGTTGTTTCATTTATTTATGGTAACCAGAGTAGTTGAATGTTCCGTAAATATATTTTTACCTAGAATTCGGTGCTCCTTTCACTTTTTAGTTGAAAATATATTGATGTGTACGTGGACAAAGTCAAGGGAGTGCACAATGCCAAGTTTGTGCAATTCTGTGATGTTTTTTGAAGTGAAAATATGTTGACGTGTACATGGATAAAGTCAAGGGAGTGTGCAATGCCTAGTTCATGTAATTCTGTGATATTTTATTTAAGTGAAAATAGGTCAATGTGTACATGGATAAAGTTTATGCAAAATCGTCACTACACAAAGACAAAATAACAAGTCAAAGAATTGCGCAAACTCAGTATCCATGTACTGCCCAAAATCGCCAATTTTCGTCAAGGGGTACCCATAAATATACTTTTATCGAGATTTTTTTCATGTCTTCTGTACATATGTATGTATCTTGTATAACTCAACGAGTAGCCTCAGAACGTTGAAATCAGCCCCACCAAAAGTATATAAATATACGGGGTGTCTCAAAAAAATGTAATCACACTTCGAATGATGAGAAAAACTTTATTTCTGAACATAGGGTGAAATGGAATCACTTTGAATACAGAAGATGAATATAATTGAGGAATTATGTTCGTGAATATTCAAACTCATGACTATCATTGTCCATACAATGCTGATAACGCACACCAAGGGATTCGCAAATGTCACGAAACAGGTCATTAAGAATATCACAACTTTGTCTTTCAATTTCCAATTTCTCAATCCATCGGTTGTTCTTGGTTTGGTACGATAAACTTTGTCTTAAAGAAGATTGTCCCCATAAAAAGAAGTCCATGGGCATAAGGTACGGGGAACGCGCAGGGTATTCAGTGGTACCTCTTCGTCCAATCCATGTGTCTGGAAAAGCTGCATCGAGGTGAGCTCATACATCGCGACGGTAGTGAGGAGGTGCTCCATCTTGCTGAAAGTAAATCTCATCATCATCACCAAACATGTGTGAAATTTGTGAACCAAAAAACTCCTGAAGCAAGTTAAGATAACTCTCACCAGTGACAGTTCTGTTAAAAAAAAAAAAGGTCTTTTGATGCTCAATGTGGATATCCCACACCACACTGTTATGTCGGGTAAGTTTACAGGGTTTTCAAGTGTTACATGAGAATTTACAGGACCCCAATACGTGCAGTTATGGCCATTAATGGATCCATTTAACTTCAAGAGTGCCTCATCGCTCCACACAATTGTACGTGGAAACCCTGCATCTTCTGCATATTTTGCCAGGTATCATTCATAGAATTGAACTCTGTGGTCAGGATCATCTTCGTTGAGTGCATGGGTTAGTGTTGGAATGTAGCATTTCCAATGCAGGGGCTACATGATGCTATCTTTTGAGATATGGTTTTCCCGAGCAGTTTGTCAAAGAGATTTCTGTGGTCATCGAAGGAGTGTTTCCTGCACCTGCTCTTCTTTTCCAGGGCTCGTGGATGTCTGTGGTCGTCCAGGACATTTCTTATTGACATCCTGGATGGTTTCATCTGCTTCAAACTTATCTCTCATGCGAGCAATGGTCAAGCACATTGGTGCGATTTTTGTGAATTCCCATCTGTATTGTCTTTGCACTTCACTGGTGTTTTAGGTCTTCCAATAACATTTCAAGACAAACTTCCTCGCTTTCAAGCTGATTTCCTGCCATGCTGTGATAAATTAATTACACCTGCAGTTCAAAAAAGGCAACATGTCAGCGACAATTAAAGTGCAAGTACATTTTTTTTAGACAACCTGTATATACCTACTGTATTACTTGGCTCAATGAGCTCAGTTTTTTTTTTATTCTTATATGTAGATAAATTGAGCATTTTTTTGCTTTAAAAATGATTGAATCGTGCTGTTCTTATGTTCCGCTTAAGGTTTTTTATGCCTTTAGTTAATCTGCATGCAATAGATGTAGAATTATCAACAAATTAAAAGTTGTTTAAGTGCTACTAAGCCTAAGTTTCTTTTACCATAGCATCTATATTTGTTTAATTTTGAAATTTGGCAGAATAGTGAATTAAGTCTTTCTGCACTTTCAGTGTCTTTTTGCCGAGTGGGACCAAAATTAAACTTTCATTTTTGTGCACCAAAAAATCTGCCTTGTTGCCTGCTGGCCGAATTGCTTGTTTTTGCATTGAAACTGTAATTTTAATTGTAAAAATTGGTTTCTTTTCTTTATTGTTTTAACTGTATTTGGTGCTTTATTTTTTCCCTATATTTTTCAATTTTTTAATGAAGATATTTTGAGGTTTTATATATGTTTTTGCCTTGCCGCGAACTGAGAACAGAATTAATTGAATGAGAAATATATCTTTAATAAAATTCAAGGAAATAATTTTAAATGAAATGCAGCAAAAGGTATGTATAATTTAGTATTTCGTACAAGGAAGTCATGCGGTGTATACATCAAATATATATATAAAAAAAAGCATATAGGTCCACTAAAAGCTCTTTGCATTTAATAATAAAAAGCTTTTACAGAGATATTAGGCTTGTGTTGTCAGCCTGTGGTTTGCTGTATGATGCAGTCATTTCATGTGACTCTGTTTATCTTGCTTTTACTTTTCTGTACCAATCATTTAAAATGTGGCATCATCATTGAATAATATTGACTGTGTACACCAGTAGTTTGTTGATTGTGCATACGTTCATTGTGTCTTGAAACATGTAATACAGCTGAGATACTTAGCACTAGCAAAAATATATTTTCACAAGCATAACACAGCTTACGGACATAATTTTATAATGCATATAGCATTTTGCCATTGCATATGTCATTTATCTATTACATCTTCAGAAATAATTCAAAACAGGAAGTAAACACAATTTAGTTACAAACACAATTTTTTAATGAGTAAGGCTTTTCATAGGTTGTTCTTTTATAATTGGGCATTCATTTCTTAAAAAAAAAAAATTCAAATTCTCAAAGTTCTTTAAAGTTCATGGCTTTTATTTCAGGCTTCCACAAATTTATGAAGAATACAGACATTCCATACAAAATGCTGATGCCAGCAAAGACTTGAAATGGTGGTCAAACAATCATGGAGTTGGTATGGCAATGAATTGGCCTGTTTTTGAGGTAAAGATTCATTGTTGTTTCTTTTAATAAATTAATGTTAAATGTATTGGATAAATCCCATTTTCCTTTTACATCTGAACCGCTGGTTCCATATCTAAATTCACATATGTATTTTTAAAAGGAAACTGTTAGAAACAGTATTAATTTGCTATGAACTTATGTCTTTTATACTTATACTTTTATACTTAACAATATAATAAATAATAAAAACACAGAAAATAAATTTCAACAATATCAGGGTCTTAGGAAAAATATAATATAACCATCATCCATCAAATAATATTTTTACCTGGTCTCCAAAACACTGGCATTCAATACTAATAAAATGTCCTAAACAGTAATTAAGCGGCCTCAAAATGAAGTTGGCTACACATTCAATAAGTTCATGATCAATGGTCAAGGAAAATACCTGAAAATTTAAATGAAGTTCTTGAAAGCACTTAAAACCGGCCTAACTCCGTTTGCACAAGGAGGAATCGCCGCTCACGTATTTTAAATGCCGCCTTCATTGAAGAACATGGATGCCGCCCACGGCAGTCACTCACATGGTAGCCTCTGGAACCAAGGAACTTTATTCTGGAACAATCATCTTATGGATATGAACCAAGGAACTTTTTCCGGAACAATCATCCCACGGACAGGCACCAAGGAACTTTATTCAGGAGCAGCCATCCCACAAACCGGAACCAAGGCACTTTAATCACCGGACTGCATGCATCCTTCTGAAGGGGCTGGAAACCGCTCACTCAAGTGCCAGGAAAGCAGGAACTAGAAGGGTTGAGCCAGAGCGACGCGAGATACTTATAGCAGAAGTAGGCATGACGTCATCTCACGGCAACCAATCAGCTATCGGCACGAATCGGCTTTCCAGATGACGTAACATCACGTTTCGTTTTTGCATCTCAATTAGGTTGAAACAGTCCGTTCTCAATGCAAACAGTGGCAGCAAGAAAAAGAAGTAGAAGTAACTACTATATTACATTAAAATAAGAACTAAACTAAATAAACATTTCAAGGAGGAGAGATGATGCAGTAAAAGGTTTAAAATAAGCTATATTTTCCAACAAATGCCCCCCACATCATCATCTCCGACCTGAAATAAAAAACTGAATGCCAGTATCTTTACAAAATTCAAAACAAGAATAAATAAATATCACAATTTCATTCAGAAATTTTTAAGAAAATTTTCCTTTGGGAAATCTTATCCCATTATTCAAAAATTTTACCATAGCAAAGAAAGTCCAACATGTTACAAAACAATACAAAGACATATGTATGATCATACACTCAATACATTTTACCCAGGGCCCTGGTCACTCATACAACATTCTACACTATACAGTTTTACATTTACCTAATATCCATCATAATATGACTTATAACATATTTTAGTTTCAAATAAACAAAACTCTTAATTTAAATACACACAAAAAACAAATTTCATAAGAAAATTGTTCCACAAAATCTTATCAGGTTATGCTTAGTCAGCGGTTTTGTCATGGGATCAGCCAGATTATCTTTACTTGGAACATATTTTAAATCACGAATATAATGTTTTCACATCTATATGTTTTGTCCTTGAGTTTTCAATGGGTGATTTTGTAAAACACATATAGCAGCCATGTTATCAGCAAACAATATTGGTTTTGCGAAACATAGTTACTTGCAATCTTAAACTGAATGCATTCATCCAAAATGTTTTTAAACCAAACTAATTCTTTTGCTGATTCAGTCATGGAGATAAATTCAGCCTCCATAGTAGACAAACTCACTCCCCTTTCTTTAAATGTACGCCAAGATACAGGTGATTCTCCCAACAAAGCTATTTGTCCACCAATAGACACCATATCATCCCTGCTTGAAGCAAAATCCGAATCTGAATATATATTGAGCTTCAGTTCCTTGCATACCAGTTTAAGTTTGTGCTGTCTGGTATTGGAAACGTACCCTAAAAGTTTAAGTAATCCTTCCCAGTGAAACTTACCAGGATTGCTTTGGAACTGAGAAAATATATTAACAGCATAAGCTATATCCGGACGAGTACGATTGCAAAGAAACGAGAGACATCCCAAAACATTTCTATAAGGATAATTCATCATTTCAGTCGTTTCTTCTTGTGTACTGGGACTTTGAGACTTTGAGTATTTCACACCTTTAACTATTGGAAGGGAAGTAATTTGTATTTTAAAAGACTTGAATCGATCAACTATGTCTTCTATATATAATTGCTGATGAATTAAAACACTATTGTTCTCATATTCAAATTCCACACCCAGAAGCTTTCTTGTTTTACCCAAAATTTTCAAATCGAAATGTGAACTCAGGACTTTTAATATCCTTTTGGCCTGAACTTCACTTTTCCCAAACATAACTATATCATCAACATAAACCAACAGAATGACAAAATCTTTAAAACGATAGACACAATTACACCACTCAAACTTGATGAACCCTCTGCGGAAGGGGGGGAACGTTGCGTCGCGCAGTGAACTGGAAATTGATCTGTCAGCACTATCCTTATCTTCAGGGCAGATGTTTTTATTTTATTCAGCTTATAATTCCTTACTAAATGTTGTATTTTATCTCGATGTAATCAAATTCCTCGTCATTATAAATATCACGAATACACATCAAATAGTTTTGTGGTTGCGATTTTCTAATTTTGACTATGTGTAACTTTACGCATGCACGCGTTGAATGAAATGTTTAATAAAGTAAACAAATAAATATTATGTTTTTTTTTTTTTTTTTTTTTTTTTTTTTTTTTTTTTTTTTTTTTTTTTTGTAAGTTTTGATACCCTTTAAATCATAATTGCTCTTTATTTCATACATTACGGTTTCATATTTTTAATTTTATAATTTCTGCATGCCATCTTACCAGATTTAAACTGATCTATAATCAGGAAAAACCGATAATCCGGAATCGCCGACGTCCCGACGAGTCCGAATTAAAGACACTCTATATATCCAAGATCGCGCTTTCGAGACATGAAAAATGCAATTTGAATTTTGTCAATCTGCCCCGTAGAATGGGAGATATAAAACTGTACTTCTTTTTTTTTCAATGTGCAGCAACAATTTATATCCTTGTACCTAAAGACAAAAGGTGGCTTGGCAAGAATCTGTCAGGGTTTTATCAAATGAAGGCATAGATATTAAGGGTGCATTTTTAACTCACAGTTGTCCATTATTGGCATTAAGGCCTATATCACACGTGCATTTGTTTCATATGAACAACTGTTTTGGACAATTTTTTTTGCTCGGTTTACTATTGAAAGGAAGACGCCTGATTTTTTTCTTCCTTTCGAAAAAATTGCAAATTGTTCATTTTCAACCAGTCACTAATCAGCTTCAAACGCTATCAGCTTGTTTGTAATGGAGAACCAGTTTTCCCATTACGTGTTAATCCCAAAGTGATCTGTGGTGATTAGCTATTGTGACAAAGCAGAAAAATTGTTTTGAACAGTTGTTCTTCCGAAACAAACGGATGTGTGTTAGCAGCTTAAATCGCACTGTTTTGAGACAAATTTATGGTTGGTCGTATAACACGTAAGTACCGATTTTTCAGAATGGTTTTATATATATATAAAAATATTTGCAATTAGACTTCCATATTGTGATAATTGAATACTAATGATTTACTCGGTGCATTAATATTGCTTTGAGTTCTAACAAAATTAAAAGAGAAAATATATAAGCTCATAAATTTTCTGTTTAGTAACATGTGTGATGTTTCATAATAGTAAAAGAAAAGGAAGTTAACATAATTTAATCATCTAAAATTTTAAAAAAAGGCTGAAACACTTTATAGATTCCTTTAAAGCTGGAAAAAAAAAAAAAAAAATGTTCTAAATCATCTTCTATTTTTGTGATTATTTGCCAGTTAATTTCTATGTGTTGGATATTTCACATTAACAAATATTTGAAATTAATATATATATTTTTCCAGATTTATATGTTATTACCATAAACAAATATTGCAACAGTAGATATAAAAGCTAAGAGAATAATTATATATATATCATACAAGTTATATACTGGGAACATGCATATGTATAGATATCCAATTTATAAAATACTATCATATTAGTCCCCTCCCAAAATTGTGGTTTTTTTAAATGAATTTTGCATTTTTGAAAGATAACTTTTTATTTCCATTTCAATTTTTTTTTTTTTTTTTTTTTTTCAATCTACTTATTTCCCAGAATTAAGAGCCCAGCATGTACATTTACATTCAAAACTTAGAACATATAGTTAACAGAAGGGAATGTTTTGAAAGATTTTTCACATGTTCAGTTATTTTCTGACTCATTTCTTAGGATAACTGCAGCTTGCTGTCATATTGCAAATTATATACAGTTTCAAATACTTCATATGGTGGCTTTTCGATGTATTATCTTGAAAAATCTAATTTTTAGTAATACATTTAGTTTTTTTAAACTTTGTAGGGTATTAGTCAGTATTAAGTGATGTGGAAAAGAGTTGAAAAGATTATCTTTAAGGAGGTGGAACCCTTGTAGACTATTAATAACTTAAAGAAAGACCGAAAAGGGTGGTTTTTAAAAGAAAAGGGGAAAACAAACTTATTTCAAAATTTAAATAACTTGGTAAAGGTTTTACCACTAGAAAGTCACTTTACTTCTGAGTGAAAGAGATGATAGGTTGAAAAATCATCATTTCTTCACATAGTGCTTTGAATATCTTTCTATTTGTAAACTTTATAAAATTAACCAATTTTTACAGCTTCAAGAATTGAGAAAATTTCTAATTTTACCGTTGTATGCTTGGATGATAGGTTTTGAATATTAATGAAGCAGTAAGTTGATTAGGGGCTATATTTTGTGGTAGAATGTTGTAGAGACTAAAATCCTGGTATAATGCCTCCCTTTAACAGTTTTTTGAGGTTTCATAATCATATATGCACTATTTCTTCGAAAGCTTATTCTTGAGAATTTATTAAACTTATAAAACAACTGCATTCTATTCAGCTGTATTTCTTCAGAAGATGTTGAATACAAAATTTTGTGGAATGAAATATTTTAAAAGTTGTAAATAGAAATGGTGTTTTACATGTGTGATTTCCATTTGTAAAATTTAGGAAAACATTCTGTTTGTTAGAAAGGATATTTTTTAAAAACGGTTTCTTTTTTAACCTCTTGTAATTTAGTTTACCATTGTATTTTCATTTTACATTTTGTATGAAATTAGTTAATGGTTATTGCAATTATTTTTCTTATTGTAAAAATGTGACTTTCGGTTTTTGTTTTCACATTGTAAAATATTTTCTCTAATTTTAAATTGTTAATGTTGCTACTGTTCTTTTGTCTACTATCATTTGGGAAGCGGGGTTTCATTCTAACAAGATGCATGTGTAATGATTTATAATGTCTGGTTATGTCTTAATCTATTATCAGATATATGTTTAATATATTGATTATATAATGTTTTCTTTTCTGTGCTTTTTGCTTTTTTTTTTTTTTTTTTTTTTTGCTGGAATGCATTTATAGGATTATTCTGAAGAGTTCCGGGATATTGTAGGAAAAAGCAAGAAAGCTCCATTTCCAGAAAGTGGCATAATGCTGGTCAATCAGCACAGAATTGGCGAAGATCTTCCTGTAAATTTTAATTTATTATCTTAAGTAGAGAGGCACTGAATCCTTTGTCAACCACTGTTTTTGCAGATGCACACCTGTTTGCTGCTTTCATTCTTTAGCAATTAACTATACTCCTTTACTAGGAGCTTTATGCTTTGCTAATCTTCACTTTACCTTAATAACTGTACCTATGTCTCTACCCTAGAATATGGTGGTGGTGTCACATCTATCTCTTATGAATAACAACTAATAGTCCTTTGTCTTGTCAAAATGTTAAAACTTGCATTGTTATTTCTGTAGTTTTTCTTGTGTTTTAATATGTAATTATGAAAAATAAAACAATGAAACCATATTGCCTAATTGCCATAGAAACAAAACTGATATTAATATTGCAGGAAATAGTGACTTAATTTGCTCTTTCATTTGATAGAGACATAATTGTCAAATTTGTTTCCATTTTGTTCTCTTTTCCTTTAGTGAGAGGCACAACTGTTAAATTTTTATTCGGAATAATTTGTGCGAGCTTTTTTTTTTTTCTTACATAAGGTTTTGAATCAGGTGTCTTTTCGTTACTGGTGTTATTTTTTCATTGATGAGAAACCCAGTGTTTAGCCACAAGAATCATTTGTCTTTTCTAGTTTTTTAAAATCTCTCAGCTTTTTATTGTTATTAAAAAGTTTCCCATATATATGAATTTTAGTGTAGTTGGGTTTGCTGTTTCACATTTAATTAGCCTCTGTGCAACTTTGGTATTTTGTCATGCTAGTTTGAAAGATTTCCATATTCTTTTCATTGTATCAACTATCAGGATTTCTGCATTTAGATTATACATTTGATTATGATTGTATTAGGGTTTAGAATTTAATTTCTCTGTTGTGCAGTAGGACTTTTTGTGGTTTTTCATGTTTAGCCTGTTGAAAGTATTAAAAGCATAAATGTATGCCTCTTTGGTAATCCCCCCCCCCTGTTAAGTTACATTGATTTTTAAAATTGCTTGATTTTAACTGTGAAAATATATTTTGCAATAATTAATTTAGATTATAACTATTTAATAGTAAAAAAAAAATATTTATAGGAGTATAATCCTGATTTCCATAATGTGTCAAAGAAAGAAAAGAAGAATGATGCTGGAATAACTCTTACTAATATTCAAAACAATCAGACAAAAAATGGCAATAAAGAAAAAAATATCTCCAACAGAAATTCAGGAGTTAGCTCGTAAGTTATTCTTTTTGAGAAAGTTAAGATATATTACTTTTTTGTTTTAAAATTCATTACTTATTTTTTTGTTTTCTTAATTTTTCAGAAATCTGTAAAAAACTGAAATTTAATGGAAATGTTCAATAATTAAAAGTGGTTTATATGTTATAAATGATTTGGATTAGTGAATTTAATTTGGATAGTTAATATTCATCCAACCACTAATTATTTATATTAAAGTACTATAAAAAGGTTTGAATGCTTAATTCTTGGAAAGTAATGCTTTCATTTTAATATTTAGATATTTAATGTGAAAATGTTGCTATTATGATAAACCATTTGAAAGTACAAGGTAACCAAAAAAGTTCTTGCTGTGTCTGATATGACACTAGAAGAGTGAACCCCAACGTAAAAATAGTCACCAAACCTGGCGATAAAATGGTTAGAATGAAAGTTCGGACATTGTCCAAGAGTATAAAAGCGCGTTGCATGGATACTTCAAACATAACTCACACAGCAACTGATTGAAATTGATGCATCAAAGTCACTCATTCGGAGTTGTTTGCTGTGATTGTAATGTAGACTTGTCAGCAGCAGTATCATGTCACCGAATTTGCCAGCTCTTTGGGGATGATGCCGTTAACAAACGAACCACTTGGCTAAGGTTCCAGAAGTTCAGATCAGGGGATATGTCTCTTAGTAATGCAGCAGTCAGCCACGAGCGCTGGGTGATGAGGCCCTGAGAGCAGCCATAGAGAATGACAGTAGCCAAACATGTGGTGAGCTTGCTGCACACTTCCAGGTAACTGATGAAACAATCAGATTCCATTTGCAACACATAGGAAAGGCATACAAGCTGAGCAAGTGGGTACTCCACTCAATGTCTGATGCAAACAAGTAACAGTGTGTCACTGCCTGTTTGTCATTGCGTACTCGGGACCACAATGGATCCACATTAGATCGAGTACTCGCCAACGATGAAAAGTGGGTCCAATATGACACACCCAGGCATTATAGACACTGGCTGTTACCATGAGACCATGTGCCTCACACTGCAAGACCTTTTCTCCACCTATGCAAGACCATCTCTATATCTAGTGGACTAGTTGTCAAATGATGCACAATGAGCTCCTGCCAGTGGGCCAAACTATCATGGCAGGCCTGTACTCGCAGCATTTGGAACATGTGCGTCAGGCACTGATGCATAAAGAGCCAGCATTGGTCAATCGCAAGGGTATACTCCTCCTCCATGACAAAATGACACACACACACACACAACACAAAAAAAAAAAAAAAAAAAAAAAAAAGACAAAATTTCATAAATGTCATTCAATAATATTCTTTCATGATGTACCAAATTTGTTAATTTAGAATAGGCATTTCAGGCTCATTTTACCTTCCATCCAGCTTACCTTGTAACCATAATAACAAGTACTGCAGCAAATGGTTGTGTCTCATAATTGTTTTTTCCATTTCATGTCCATTTAGTGTGCTTCATGGATAGCACACAAATGAGGGCTGACTTGAATGTCTCAAATGAGCTAGAGAAAATAAATGCTGTGTAGAGATGATGACATGTGTTATGATCAAAGGAGCAAAAAGACCTTGAAATACTGTTATAAAGTAACAGACTTATAGTCTGTAACATTCTTAATTTAGAATTTTTTACAATTGGTATGCCAGCAAAATTTTTACACAAGTAATTTATAAGTTTTACTATAAGTACACACTAAAAATATGTGTCTAATATTCTCATGAAATTGTATTAATTTTTAGTCATAAGCTAATAATCATACTTAAAATTTCATTAAGCTGGAAATTTTCACTTTTAATCCATGCAAATAATATTGACAGTTAGCTTGTACAAGTACGAAAACTGTTAGTGTTTTCTAAAACGCAAATTATATACAAATGAATAAAAAAAAAAAATTACTATTTTTTTTTTTTGGTTGTTTTGAAAAAAATTTATATTGATCAATACTTTTCATAAAGTGGCAAGTGTATGTCTATGACCAATGGTTGTGAAAATAAAGACTTCAAACAGGTTTTTATGGATACAATGTATATTAAAGGAAATTTTTCATAGTCTCATATTTAATATAGTCTCCTTCCAGTCCCAAAAATAATCTAAATGGTACCTTATTTTAAGTAGTTTTAAAGAAAGTGTTTTTTAATGTAGAAATGGACGTCAGGATCCAAATCCTTTTGATGATGATCAAGAAGACTGGGATGAAGGTTCTAATGATGCTTTGGTTGACAATGGAGAACCTGGTGTTCCAGTCAAAGCACTTTATGACTATGAAGGTGCTGAAGCAGATGAGCTTTCTTTTAAAGCAGGTATGCAAAATTTCATTTTCTTTATCTTATTAAAATTTTAGAATCCATTTCAGAGTTTATTAAAAAAAAAAGTCTTAATTTTCTAAACTCTTACCAGTTCGTATTATAGAAGTTATAAAAAACAAATTATGTAAGTGGATTTGTGTAATATAAAAACTTCATAGGTATCAAATTTTTATACTGAGTATACTGAGTATAAGATTTTTATGACTTAAATATAACAATATGTAATTGACTTTACTAATATATATGTAATAACTTATCGCTTCAATATAACTTTAGTAATAAATATATTATTAATACTTTTGACATTTGTAGAATGTAAAAAGAAATTCTGTTAAAAATATAGGCATACAGAAACTTATACAGTAAGACCCCGCTTAACGCGGGGTATCAAAGTAGAGCGTAATATGAAGCAGCGTTAAACAAGGTTATCTCATCATGTTAATAATGGGGTTAGGGGAAGATGGGTAGAAAATTGGTCAGGTATTTTACCACTAAATTTATTAATTATATTTTATAACATAAATATAAAACAAAAAAATATTTCTTACAAATATACATATAAAAATAAATAAAATTCAAAGTTAGTATGTTTACATTTCAGATCATTCAGTCTCTTCCATATTTCCAATTTTCTGCCTTTTTATCAAGAAGGTATCTAATGCAATTTGAGTTTTCCTTTTGTGCTCTCTAAGAAGTTGTTGGTAAATGGATAAGGCACCCCTAACACTTTGAATGCCTTTGAACTCCTGTCAAAATTTGGGTCATTTTCAATAAATTGGTGAATAATTTCTGTTATAGTGGTCAAACTGGTTTTTAGAAACGCTATTGAAAGTTCTTTTTGCTCTTCTTCAGAATCACTACTTTCACTATTTTTGTGTTCTTGGTCTGCTAATTCCTTGAGCTCATGATTAGGAAGACTTACAGCTGTGTCTTGCCCTATTTCTTCAACATCTTCCACATTTACCTCATCTAAACTGGTTTCTTTTGCTAATTCCACTATTTCTTCTATTATTTCATTCATATCGACAGAGTTTCCCTGTGTCACCGCCCTTGCTTAGGTATGGCCAAATGTTCTTCCACACACCCCTTTCAACCATTTTTCTGTTATCTCATTCCAAGAAAGGTTTTTGTTTTCTACAACATTCATGATATTGTTCTTCCAAAACTCTCTTATTGATTTTTTCTTTTCTCCGTCTGTTTTTTTCAAACATCTGTCTAAATGTTCACCGCAGGTAATAAGCCTAAAAAATTCGATATAACACCTTGATCCATTGGGTGGATTAAGGCAGTTGTGTTAGGTGGCAAGAAAACCACTTCGACTGAAATGTACATTATTAAGTCAGATAAATTCGTTGGATGGCTTGGAGCATTATCAATTAAAAGTAGTGCTCTTGATTCAAGTTTTTTAATTTCGCAGTAGCAATAGCAAGTTTTTTAATTTCGCAGTTTCGTAATAGGGCAAAATTATTCAGTGAACCAATTCTGGAAAATTTTCATAGTTATCTAATGATTTTTTTTTATTAGACTACCAAATTACAGGTAAAGTTGATTTGGATATTCCTTTCATCGCTCTTGGGTTTTTGGAATGGTAAACAAGTAGTGGTTTTAATTTAAAATCTCTGCTTGCATTACCACCCACTAGAAGTGTTAAGCGATCTTTTGCAGCTTTAAATCCTGGTGCACGTTTTTCTTCGCAGGATAGTAATGCTCATTTTGGCATTCTTTTCCAAAATACGCCTGTTTTATCAACATTAAAAAACAATTCTGGAGGATAGTTTCCTCGTTCAATTATTATTTTTAATGTCATTGGTACTTCAGCCGCCGCTTTCATATCACCACTTGCTACTTCTCCTGCAATCTGTATGTTATGAAGATTATTTTGATGTTTAAATCTATTTAACCATCCTCGACTTGCAACGAAAGTTTCGCTTATGTCACTTGTCTCAACCTGAATGTAATTAAAAATTCTTCTTGCTTTTTCTATTATAATTTTTTTCCCAATGGCGGATTGTGAACAGTTACAGTGTAACACAGTCCATTAATCTATACAAGGCCAGATGTGGTGGTCTATTATAGAGGCACCTAATAGGTGGGCCACCATCATCTCCTATGAAGGGACGGACAGTTACAACCATGCCTTCTCCGGGATTCGATCCCATGCCCTTCAGTATCACAGTCAGGCTTCCCTAACCACCTACCATCTGGGTGGCTTTTCTATTATAATAGATTGGCTTAATGTCATATTGTGTTCAATTTCGTCGTCAATCCATAAAGAAAGTCGGTGCAAGCAGAATATAGTTGCCCCATGAGCCTGTAATTATGAAGAACTGAACGTCATTGTGCATTGTTTGCTTTTAAATCTAAATTCCAAAATGATTCCTTAAAAATTGGGTTTTTTATGGAAATATTTGAATTTTGAAATATACTACTTAAATTTTATTTCTTGTACATAAACAGAAAATGAAAATTAAGAATAGTTTTAGGAAATTAAATAAAATTAAAAATATAAATAGATAGTGTCATGCATTTAAAGTAGTAAATAATACTCTTAACAGGACTGATAATCAAAGCATTGAATTCAGTGAAGTTTCTTATCATTATGTCATCACATATTTTCTTTTAAAATTTAATATAAAATATTCCTTTTTTATCATATAAAAGTTATAGTAGATCACCAGTGATACTTTGCTTGTATATTACATTTGAAAAAGGTAAACCTGTGAAGGAAAACTAACATAACTGGATTTAGATTTGACGATATCCTAAACTATTTGAGATATGGGGCCCTTTATGAGGGATATAGTATAATTTTTGAGGGTGTCTCCAAGAAAGTGGGAGCCCTAAGCTACAGCTTGTGCAGCTTATATGTAAATCTGGCACTGAAACCTAAACCATAAAATATATGATGCATTGAAAGCAATGGGGTTAAGGAGCAAAAGCTGAATGGTAGGTTATTATTCAAGATATCGTGCACTGTGATTGCATTCTTTTGTGAGATTATAGATATTCTTTTCTGATAGATTATTCTTTTCTGAGATTATTTATAAACCAGCAAAATAAAGGAAAAAGTACTAAATAAGACATTTTAATTTAAATGACATTTTGGTGTATTATGTGGAATCAAGCTTTTATATTCATTTTCATCTCCTTCTTGAAAAAATTTTAATCTTTAATTTTTATTTATTTGTATGAAACAAGAAAGGCCTGGCGGTCATATGAAATGACTGCTGTTCTAGATATTATAAATTGTAATTAAAATGATTTGTGCAAGCTGTTCTAGATATTATAAATTGTAATTAAAATGATTTGTGCAAATGTGTCTGCTAATTCAAACTGTATTATCCAGGGAAGGTGGCGAAATAAAGGGGATTTAAATAATAAAATGTTAATTCACATGTCAAAGATCTTTTTGTATGCAACATTTCTTGTGTAGATTTTTCCATCATTTTTAAGCTTGTTTTGCAGAGGACCATCAATTATTTTTAATTTTACGTCTGTTCTTTCACGAACTCTTGAACACAAGTTGACTGTGCCCAAATGCAGGCTGAGGTAAAAAAAAAAAAAAAAAATGCCAACACACTTAAGCGTTTGGATGACTGAGACTTATTGATGGTCATAGCAAAGGCAAGTTTTACAGGACAACAGTTGTCTATGTCTCAATTGAAACGGCAACCCTGTGCCGTGGCAACTTACCCATTGGCTAGTACAGTTACACAAGCAACCAATAACTATCGGCGACAAACAGACATGTAAGCTGCCTATATATAGGGTGAAGTAACATCATCTCTTGAGTTAACAAAGCAAATAGAGCTTACATGTCCCTCTATAATCTCATAGGACAGAAATCTAAACTTAACCTTAAAAATTAAATGTACTCTGTATTTAGCAGTTATTAGACCAATTTTGTTTTATGCAACCCCGGGCCTGGGCCACGACCTTAAAGACTGAATGAAGGAAAATTAACCTCCTGAAAAATAAAATACTAAGAGCTATAGTTAATGTGCCTTAGTATGTTAGAAATACGATCATTTATAAAGATTTAAAAATTATACCAATACCGGAGCAGATCCTAATGGATGCTCACAACTTTTTTGAGAAAATGGAGAATTGCCAGTCAATACTTTGAGAGAACTTACGAACTATGATCCCACTGTGGAAAGCATCGTGAAACGACCTAGGTCAATTCACCACAATGTAAAGTGGTAGCTGTAAATATGTATATAGTTTTATCCAACTTGTCTCATTTTATTCAAGTATTATTTAATCAAGCATTTAATCCTATTATTTATCTAAGTATTTAACCAAGATTTATTTCCTTGTTTGTTTATTTGTGTTTGAGTTTACTACTAAAAGTATGGACTTAGTGCCTGGACAGGCAAAGACTTTTAGTGTTATTTGTACAAAGTGTAAATAATTGAACTCACCATGCATACCAATGTGGATCCAACTGTATTGACTAGTACCGGTCACGTGATACTCATACCCTTAATTCTCCTCGCAAATCTCTCATTAAGTAGTTTTATGTTCTTCAGTCAGGGTTCTGATGATTTCTATGACTTAAAAATTGAAATTTTTGCTATTATGTTAGTGTAACACCACCTTGACTTGCCACCTTAAAGCTCTGATTGCCTGATCTCTCAGACTCTTATTTTTGCTTTCGGGTGAGTAGCGTGATAGCGCCCTAAATGTTTCTACAACTGGTGAAGGGCTGTATGGCAAGTTAGAATGATCAGGTTTAAATTCTAAAGAAGTTAATGCCTGTAATGAAAGTAAAGCATAAGCATAAGCATCTCCTCCGAAACAGCTGGCTACCATGCTTAGCGAAGCACGCCATTAGATTCCGCAGGTCCGTGGCACGCCATTTTGACCATTCGCGTCTTCGTGGACTTTAATTAGCCGAGATATTAATTAAAAACTAATTTTCCCTACATTTTCCCCACATTTTCCACTTTCTTTCTTGGGTTTTCCCTATTAGAGGGATTTGGCTACATGCCAAATTAATTTTTCTCGAATATCTACAGAATGGCGCCGAGTTGAAACTCAAGACGCATATCCTCGGATTCCAAAAAATTCTCCGAATCCATCGATACCGTTCTCATCTTCATATGACTTTAATCGGCCAAGATATTAATTAAAATTTGCTGAAACGTTAATTTCTGTGCTCATTTTTCTGAGTGGCAACAATAAACTATTGGTGACAAACACTTAAGCTGCTTATATATATATAAAGATATATCTTTAATTTAAAATTAATTAATTAAAATCTTTAATATCTTTAATTTTTAAAAGTCTCTGAATTCATTTTGTAATTTTCATCATTAATTTTTTAGCTAAAATTGAAAAATATTTATCATCTAAAATGTTTTATGGCATTTATAAATTGTAATGTAAGTCATAGGTTTTCTAAATTTTATGAGAATTGCTCTCGTATTTCTCATAAATGTTAGTATATTTTTTTTATTCTTCCTTAGATTTTAAAAATTGGTGTAGTTTTAATTCTAATGTATTATATATTTTTTAAATCATGCATTCAAAGACTTTATGAATGTTACATATATATATATATATATATATTTTTATATAAACCCAGGAGAAGTGTTTGAAAAACTGGAAGATGAAGATGAGCAGGGTTGGTGCAAAGGAAGGAAAGATGGTCGTGTAGGCCTTTATCCTGCAAATTATGTTGACCGTGTTAATAATTAAAATAAGATGGCAAACTTTCTTGTGACTTTTTATGAAGTGAGAACTTTATAAACTTTTTATGTTTCCCATGAGAAGTCATTTTCCATATTAGTCCAAGTGCCATCTGCTCATTGTGTGCAATTTTTAAAAGTATTTAAAGAGTCTGAAAATTCTTTTAATTTGTTTTTTGTATATCTGAAAAGAATTTTTCTTTAGAATTATCATTTTCAGTATACTTTGATACGGTGTTTTATATTTATTAATTATTTTTAATGCTTTATAAAATTATTCCAGGTTTCATTCCATTATCAAAATTATCTTGCCTTCTATTTTAATATTAATTGCAAGTAAAATATAATTTTTTCTACATCAAATGTTGGTTTTTTGCATTACTTTGTATAAATTCTTTCTCATACTGTTTGGTTGTGAATAATTCTACCCTTTTTTTGCCTTATATTTTGTTATTAGATTTGTGATTTTTGTTATGTTCCCTTGTGATGTCTGTCTGTAATTCTTTTAATTCCTTGAATTGTCTTTCATTTTACATCCAAGACTGTAAGCTGAATTTGAGGTATGGTTACTGTGATAAATATTTGGATGCATTAAAATTGGTTCTTTCAGTTAATTAAAAATTTTTTCGTTTGCATAAATGCAAGCCTTATATGAAGAGAACAATATCTTTCTTTTATTATATCTGAAAACAGGCTTTTATATTTTCTTTATATTGTACTCAGTTTTATTTCGATCATATAAGCTAGCAATATGTTATCATAAAATAGTATGAAATTTTTGTTTAAGTATATCAAAAATTAAATTAAACTATTAAAAATTATTTAATCGTTTAATATATTGATGCAGATATTCATAGATTTTTTTAGGTTATAAATTTCTGGGTGTGATTTCTTCCTCCATAAGTAATATGTTAAGATTTTTCTAATTATTTAAATGTTGTTTATTATATTCATCTTTTATGATGTTTTTAAAAAGTCTTAATTTATCCATAATGTTCAGGAAAAGTTCATCTGTCTAATGAAGATTGTCTCTCATATTTTGATATTTGTTTTCTGATATTTTATAAAAATCAGTGAATGAAATATTTCATACTAGGATTTTGAAGTGAAACATTATTCTGAATACTGTTTTTAATTTTGTTATAAAATTGTTAATTTTTATGACATACTTCTGAATTTCACAGTATCATCATATGTTTCTAATTACATCAGTGTTGATCATTATTGTTCCTCCATAATTCCTCTTTGAACACTGTCTGTATATGGCTTGAAAAATCAACATTGTAAACAATTTTCATGTATTGAAACAAATGTATATGTTTATGTTTTTACTAGTAATTTTAATTTTTATTAGTAAAAAATTTCATCAAAAAAAATTTGCTCTTAATGCACTTGTGCAATATAATTTTCCAATTAATTATTGTAAATTTTATTTTCCTCTTTTGTGTGTTTTATACATGTATTCCTTGTGTTATTCCATTGCTCATTCTTTCTGTGTGTATGTGTATCATGCCTCCTATGTAGTGAAATAAATTAATGAATTTTCACAATTGAAAAATGTAATAGATTATTTGTAAAATTGTACATCATGCAAGAAGGATATATCTAATTGCTTGATAATTTAAAAACAATAATTTTTGTGATATATATGTTAAATGTTGTGTTAAAGTCTGGACTAGAGCATATACTGAAAAACATGTAATATAACTACTTCTTTGATATGCGTCAATTTTTTTTTTCTCTCTTATTCATCAAGAAGGTTTTGATTATTATGATTTTAATTTGATGAAAGACTAAATTTTTTATTCTACTGGTCCCTTTTTTTTAAATATTTTTTCACTAAAGTTATGTTACATTAAACAGGCTTATTCCTTTTAGTATTTTCTGAAAAATTTTTTTAAGTATTATTTATTAATGGCTTATTTTATATTTAAGGTGCAACTAAAAATCTTTAAAATTTTCATGTATGTTCCTTTTGAGCTTATTTCGTAGATCTTCCTGTGTTTTTCTTGATCACAAATTTTAAATACTATATGTATTCCCTCCCCCTGATATAAAAGGCTCTCAGGAAACTTTTATAAATTTTGTTTCTTTGTATAGTTTCTAAGTTAAAAATAATTGTTCTTTCTTTTTTTTTTTTTTTTTTTGTTAAAAATAGGTTTTGTTGATATGGATTTTGCATGTTTACGTTAAATTTGTTAATATAGTTGAAAAGAATCTCTGATCTTTTATTTTCACATATCTAATGTATTTAACTAGGTTGATTAATTTGTATATATAATATGTTTTAGTGTAAATACTTTTTTATTTTATTTCTTATTTGTTCATGAATGTTAATAACTGATTTGCCAGATTAATATATTAAAGCACGGAAATAATTGTTAATTGTTTTTGTGCTTTAGTCAGTGCTTCCTTTTGAAGTAGCAGCTTGTAGTAAAAATATTTCTTGATGGTCTAAAATTACAATTATATAATTATATGTAATTTTTGTGTGCAAAAGTTTCATATCATGGAATCTAAAAGTAATTTTAATCATTCATTCAACATAGTTCAAATGAAGTTTATTTTATTGAATCTAGTTTGAAAGACTGAAGCATGTATTAAAATTTTATTTGTTAAGGTCAAGAAATTATATTTTAAAAATATGTATATTTGTTTATTTATAAAGATCTGAAGTTTGAAAAGGTGGGTTTTGATTTTACTTAGAGATATTGTTATACTGTTCAGCATAGTTCATAATTTTTGAAAATCTGTAACTTCACTGTTGACTATTTGTAATTCTATAAATGTTATACCCAAATCCCTTTTGAAAGAGAAATGTATTGTTCAAATCTTAGGAGCTTCTCGAGTTCAAATATAGCACAATTCCTGTGCAAAAATTACAATGAGCACCTATTTTGGCCATCCATTTTTATAACTCTAAAAGCAGACGTGTTTAGCTTTCATCTGCAAATCTAAAAGTGTTTCACTTTATATGCATTGTATCTTAATATGTACATTAATCCCAATAAAAAAATGTCACTGCTGAAATATGTAAGTAATAACAATAAGTACCAAAAGAATCTGAAATTATATATAATGGCTGTACTTGCACATCTTTTCTACTACAGTGCATAGTTATGTTTATTATACCATCCGACTCTTATAAATTATTAACTTAGACAGTATTCCATTAGTCTATATTAACTTTTTATCTATTTTAAATTTTCATGCTTGCTATATTAATTGTATGAGATTAAAATTCATAAATTGATCTGCTGTAGAAGTACAATATAGTCATGTTCAGATGTAGAAATGCATATATATATATATAATGCATATTTTTTAAATTCAAGGGAAATTATTTTAGCTAAATATATGACCTTTTTGTTTAAAATATCATATGAGTATGGGATCAATTAACTGTGATGATGTATGTATATCACATGCCAAAGTAAACATGATATACAAAAAGAAATCAGCCTAAATCTTTTTCTTTCTGATTTTTATTTATTACTACATAAGGATACAGTGAGAGTATAAAAACCTTTCCAAGTTTTATTTGTAAAATAAATTTTCTTCATTTCAAGAAATTTCCTATCCCATAAAAGGAGAAAATATATATATTATCTCAAAATTGAATTGAAGGGAAATTTCAGAATGAAGCTCAGGAAATTATATCTAGATTTAAATAATTGGTATTTTTTTTTAAATCATGCAAATTATATGTGTAAATTCTTTTCTCTTTGTAATGATATAGAACATACATATTTTATTAATATTTATTTCATCAATTCGTTATATGTTTATGTGCAAGTATCTAATTTGATAGTCATGGCACATGTTGTGTTTTTCAGTTTTATTAGTTTCAGTATTTAGAAATGACTGCAACTTACACATTTTGAATTGCTTTTATTTGATGCCATGAAATTTTAGTTTTTGTATATGTAAGTTGTATTTCATATCTTTGAGCAACAATGTTCCAAATGTGTTATGTCACTCATCCGTGTAATAAAAAATGTATATTTTTCATAAACGAGATGCAATCCTTGCAAATGATTTTAAGCCATTCAGTCTGGAATGTAGTAATATGTCCATATAATTAATGAAAAATATTTTGGAAAATATATAAATAAATGTGTATACAAATATATATATATACTATACTGCTGATTGATATAACAATGTTTAACAAATTGCTTTGTACAAATTTTTAAGGCAGCTGCACCTTATTAGTTAATAAAGTCAATGATTTTGCACAAATCCATGTAGGCTTAATTATTTTCTATAGTTTTGAATAACGCACAATTGTTGTAATTTTAAGCAACTTTAAAGAATGTTCCATATGTTATGATCAGTACCAGTGGAAGCAGGCCTGCACCAAAAAAGGGGTGCTGATCAATGGTTTACCATTTCAGTTTTCTTTTATAATAACTAGCAGACAAGCCTGCCAGATGAGTGGGGTCTAGCCAAAGCAAAATTTATATGTTCTATGCACACCTGAAAGAAAATGTTTAAAAACATTTCAATATGAGTGAAATCAGTTCTATATCTATCTAATAATAATAAATAGTTTATGTGTTTCCATAAAAAAATTTATTCTTCCTCTGTTTAGAAAACAGAAATGGCAATTTTAAAATTCCACCTTGTACGTGCTTCGACGCAGCATGCTAAACAGCAATGAAGATCAGCGTTTTAAGTGTTTTTAATTAATTTCTCGACTGATTAAAGTTGTAGAAAGATTAGAATGGTTGAAATGACTTCCCATTGCTTGCAATCTGGGGATACCTCTCCCGGTGCTCAACTTCTCACCATTCTGGAGGAGAAGACATTACGAACAAATATATGTGCACAGATTTTAGTAGTATAGATGAATCTGCAAGAAAAAAATTTTAAATAATTAAGAATAGAAAATATCCATTTATACAGAACATATTTAACATAAATATTTTTAATATGAAATTGCACTCTCTACACATCACGTGTAATAAAAATCAAAACCTAAAATCCATAGGTTTTGTACTATGCTGCATTGCTCTGTATTGAAATGCATTGGTGACTTTTTTTTTTTTACTTGGTTGATTTTGAAAGAAAATTTGAACCTCACATTGGAATAAACTACTTAAAATTGAAAATGTAACAAGCATTAACACTAATTTTAATAATTTATTTGTAGTATACATTATTCCAATTTGCAAAATAAAAGAAATTCTGAAAGCAACTAAAAAATGTGATAAACATCAAATTTTATGTTACAGAAAGTAAATTTGCTGGAAAAGAATTGGCAGCATTCTGAAATAAGTGGCAAAAGAGCAATGCTTTGCCACACATAGTTGCTTTAATACAATTTAATTGCTTAATATTAATCTACTTAGCAATTATTTTTTCTTAATATTTATTTTTAAATGAGTAGAATGGTTTGAAGTTTTATTTAGATTGTTTTGGTAAAAATCCTATGTCTTCTTCCATGAACTGAAATGTAGTAGATAGTACAGTATAAGTTATAATCGAGCATCTGTGGGACTGCATTTTGAAATTTTGGAAAATCGAAAAATAGCTCTGAATCTTCATGTATAATTTAAAAAATATTTTAACAGCTAGTTTTTAATTATATATTTTCAGCTTAGCAGTTTCATATGCAGTAGTTTTACTTCTTACACATAAATACAAGCATACACTACTGTATGTGATGCATGTGAATTTGTTTAAACTTTTACTTTCTTCTTGCACTAGACTGCAGAATGAGATGTTTAAAGCATACATTAAAGGCCAAATAATTTACTGTGTTGCTACCATGTGACCATCTATACAGCTAAATTTCTGCATTACATGGTTATTTTTTCTGTGTGGCTTTCCATGAGAAAGTTTTGAGGAAATACTGATCAGAATATGGCATTTAAAATGTGTTTTAACAGATAACAAACAATAAATGATAATTTATAATTAATTAAATATATCATCTTGTATAAATATGAACAATGTATTACAGCAGTGCTCTGTCGAAAAGTATCGCAAATAACTTGAGCTATCAGTCACCAAATAGTGAGATTGCTGAGTACTGATATTTTGGCCCGGGCTATAATTACAGTGAAATGATTGGCTGTATGGGAGCTTTTGCCATTTTCCTCATGTGTATTTTGAATACGAGCCAATTTCTGTGAAAAGTTCTTAATGAAAGGGACTCATCCCTTTGGCAGATAGCCGTTGTGTGCTTTGCCATAGTCCAAATGAATAGCTTGTATTTATTTAAATTATTATTTAGTTTATTAAATAATTTGTGAAAGTTTTTTGTGTTAAATCGCAATTATCATTTTATTTATAAAAATTGTGTAAAAAAAAAAAAAAAAAAACAGCGAACTTCTCCAAAGTGTTAAACTTACTAAGGTTACCATTTTTGAGAATAACTCGTTTTTCTGAAAACATAAATAAACACCACTTTTAACCGCTACCTCTTTAAGATAGCCAACTCAAAAGATCAAAATCATCTTGAATTGTGGATGGTCATTGAAAGAAGTTATTGTATTCAAAAATTGGTGGCATTTATTATAAATTCATTCAAGCTTTTACGTATAATTTTTCTTAATGCAGATTTATTAGTTTATTCCATAATTATTATATCTTAATGTAAAATTAATAAATAAAACAAACAAATGGCAAATAATTCTGTTTTCAAAATTTTATGCATGAACTCCAAAAAATGAAATGTAATTAACTAGATTCCATTACGATTAAGGAAAATCACACAAAGCCCTGAGGAGAAATGCCTAAGGCCTTCTGCCTTTCTTCTAAGAGAAATTGACTTGAACTCTGCTCGAACTAGCATTCAGCAGTCTTATCTACTTCGGCGCTAGTAGTCAAAAATAATTTCCTATGCTTTTTTGTCAAGAGTTTAAAATAATATTTCAATTGATAATCATTGAAAATGAGATATCTATCTAGCTATCTGGTTGTATCCATCTGGCTACCATGCATATCGTCGAAATTAAATCAGAATATTTAGAATTTATTAATAATTCAAAGGAGAAATCATAGATGGAAAATTATGGATTAATTTCCAAAGAATAGTAAAAGTATATACAAAAAGATGAGCCATTTACTGATGATAAATTATAAATAGTTTTAAAGGAAGTGAGACCAAAACGAAAACTCAGAATGAAAATTAAATACTGCCAAAAGGTATATCCATTCAAATTTGGAAAAATGTGTATTGTAACAGAGAAAGAGTAGATGCAGAGAACGTGGTTAAATTTATTTATTCCACATAAATTGTTTTCACATTTCGTTACTCTTTTGTCAGATCTGATAAGAATACACTTAAACCTGTTTTTGTGTGGTCCTTTCTTGTGTGTGTGTGTGCGGTACATGAAAATTTGAATCAGATTAGAACATAATTATACGATTATATGACAGCAGATAAAATTTATGCAGGACTCCAACTTTGCCATAAATTAGAATGCCATCTTCTTGCAATCGATGCCAATTCTGAAAGAACTTCAAAATTCCAAAAAGAGCTTCAATCTTGTATATCTGGCTACCAAGACATATACAAGCGTCTAGCGAAACAACAGTTGTTGCCAAAACTTAATCACCAACTACATGGCTACTAAAAAAAAGTAAACACTAAACGAATGCAAGGTAGTGTGATGAGAGTGATTTTGAACCATGGACCTGATAAGAGATAGACCAGTGGTCGGACCAGTATCGGTCCGTGGATTAAATGGTACCAGGGCGCGGGCCGCCCATTTCATCGAAACTGAATTTAAATTCCTAGGTTTATACCCCAAATTAAAAACATCTGTGTTTCATTAAAATTTTATTTATTTAAAAAAAGGGTCCCCGAAGGTAGTGACATAATTTTTTTAATGTTTTAAAAAGTAAAAAAAAAAAAAATAAATAAAATCGCCACAACTATTTTCACTTTCAATTAGTTTTAATAAAAAAATCAATCATTATAACTGTAAATATCATAAACAGTGCTTAAATTGCGCTGGCTGCGAAAGTTCTTGGCCCACTAGCGGCCGAGCGGTAAAGACGCTGAATACTGGTAGTTCGGTCCGAGGTTCGAATCCCGCGAACGGGTGGCTGCATGAGTGTTTTCGTGGTGTTCCCCATGTGCAATGTGTATACGAGCCAGGTTTCCTTAGAAAGTCCTCCACGAAGGCGCCCCTCCCTTTAGGCAGATAGCCCTCGTGTGCTTTGCCGTAATTAAATAATCCAATCCAATCTGGTACTTCTTAATTTTTAAGATAAATTACAATTCTAGCCGGAGTGCATCGAAGCCCTAGATAAGATGAGCTTTGGTACTTCTTTTTATAAAACTGAACCAAAATTTCAAGGGAAAAAAATTTGAATTCCTAACATTTTAGTTTAACAATAAGCAGACTTTGCAATACTCTATTTTCCTAGAAATATGAACTCATGAGAACATGAGACGTTCAAGTAAAGTCCCCTCACTCATTAGTGGACACCTTTTCCTTTAAGAAGGCATATATTTGGGGGGGGGGTGTTTAGGAACGCGTAAATTTCTCGCCGTGCCATGGTATCTAGTGTATTGTTATCAATGATTACAATAATATCTTTAATGTTATCGGTGGTTGTAATAAATCATAATTCTAGCCGGAGCCCTGAATAAGAAGGCTGCGGCACTTCTTTTATATAATTGAATAACAATTTCAATAGAAATTTTTATCTCGAAAGTTTTATTTTAACAATAAAATTTTATTAAAATCGCTTATTAAATTGTAATTTATCTCTTTATATTTTATTTATTTTAATTATTTAATTATTCAATAATAATATTTATTAATTATCTATAATATTAATTAAATTATTAATAATTATTGATTAAATAATTTATAAACATTTAAGTTTATAATAATTAACTATTAATTTTAAAATTATTAATGAGTTTAATAGTCATTTTATTTATTAATTTACTCTTGTTCCTCTTTGCTGACAGTCTTCCATAGGGCTCGGGCACTTCTAATTTTAGAAATTAAGTCCTGATCATAAATAAAACACGAAAGAGAGGCGCGAAGCGGTGTTCTCTGCAGTAACAACAACCAAAACAAAGCAACAGAATAAACTGAACATAAGCAACACATTTCGGGTGTCATTGTCTCCGATTACCCCCCAGGTGGAACCGTCTCATTGCAAAGAAACGAGCTCAGGGTTCTCATTGATTTAACGTTCTAGTAAGTTAAAATGTTAAATCACTTTATTTTTTGGTGTAACTGTATTTTATTTTGATGGCATGTTTAAAT